TTATTTACATCCAACAAATAAATTTTTGAATTATGAATTGCTGATGGAAAACTATTTGTTCGTGTGATATTTCCTATAAATTTAATATGGTTTGGTTAATAATAAAATTTAAAAAAAAACAAAGATAAAAATTAATGTGAGAATGACCTACCAAAAGCCACAATCATATAATTTTCGAATAAATTTGCCGTATGAGCATTAAGTGATGGAACTTCATCAATATTTGATGATACTTCCGGTACAGTCCATTCGAATGTTTGAGTATTTAAAACTACCAAGTCTGGATAAACTTTGTCATATCTAGATTGTGCTGCATTTCTTGACCCACCATAAACAATGATTCTTCCATCAGAAACTAATAATAATATACGTGATAATTAATATACATTTTCGAGTAAAAAAAAAAATAAATATAAATAAAATATTATACCTAATACAGCTGAATGCAAATAACGTGAATCAATTAAAACATCATTACTTATCGCTTGCTTTTATAAATTAAATAAAAATTCATATAATTAATAAATTACAACGAAGATTATAATAAGATGTGAGTAAAGTATAGTACATACCACTATCGACCAAGAAGCTAAATTAGTGTCATAAAGATTAATTTGATTAATATCCACTTCACGTAGAGTATAATCAGCAATTTGTTCACGACCTCCAATGTATACAATCGTGCCATCTGATAATAATGATGCGGTATAAAGATCTCGCTTCATAGGAGCGTTGACGGTAGAACCATATGACCATGTTAAATCATTAGTATTTAATATTATCATATCATTGAAAAATTGAGTAAATTTTGATCCTAAGAACTCATCAAATTTTCCACCAAAAACATAAATATTTCCGGTGCCATCAGCAACGGCTTGAACATTTCTACGTCTTTCTGGTGCTTTTCCTTGAATTGCAGGTATATTCCATTGTCCTAAATTTGGATTAAATGCATGAACCAATGAGGTAAATGAATCGTTATTTTGATATTCGATTATTCCTCCAATCAGGTAAATATTATCATCATTCAATACGGCGGTTGTCCAACAACTTTTAAAATCTAATCCAGAGTTTAACGTAAGGTCGGTCCATGGCGGAAACTCTGAATTTATTTTTTGAGACAAATCAAGATAGAACACTTCATTTGAACATTCTATATCATCCATTACTCCACCAAAAAAATAAATCTTGTCTTTAACAAGGACGGTTGAATGAGATTGACGTCCTGTAGGCATAAATGACTCAACGTTTAAGAACAAATAACTTAATATAAAAAAGAAAAGCATTATATATTTTTCGCAAGCCATAATTTCAATTGAAGCAAGGAAGTTATTTTTTTTTCTTTTAAAAAAAAAAAAAAGTTGAATTTAATTTTAAATTTGAATTTAAATTTAAATTTAAATCTAAATTTAAATTGGGTACAACAATAATTATAAGTGATACTACATCTTTTATTTATATTCATGCAACAGCCTCATGTCTTACAACATTTCTTACAACATTTTATGTTTTTGTTTACGTAACGATGATCTTTGTAAGCAAGCAGCATACTATTGCAATTTCCACACATGTTCGTAAATGTTTCATGAAGAATGAATGTTACGAAATAAATTTATAGGTAATATTCGGTGTTAGTATCAAATATGAAATCACAAAATTTTCTAATACTAAGAATTATCTCATGACCAACATGACCAAGTAGAAGTTGGAACCGGTTTGGTTTTCGAAAACCGGTTTTAGGTCTAAGCCAAAAAAAATCCGACGGGCTTATGTAAATCGAATCAAGCCGAATAATCGAATTAAATCGGTTGGACCGATTGAATTTAAACACAAAGATGATAAAGGTAACACAGTAAACAAAATTGTCGATTTAAAAATGTATTTCCTTAAATTTATTCTTGAATTTTAACTTTAAAGTATTACAATAGTTAATTTATAATAAATTTTGTTTCAATGACGCAAATATACCAAAATTTTGTGGCAAAGTTATACAAATAATTCATTTCGTGAGCTAACTAAGCGTCACATTCCATTTTCCAAATATAACAAACACACGTTTGTTTACATCTACTAATGGATTGTAGTGATCAATATTTGTATTATTAGTCATATTTGTTGTAATAACTAGGGAACGGTAACCGTTCTAGTCCGAAGCATAACAGGACTTATAATACAAATCAATAATTTATTTTCAATTTTTTTAATGTTCAATTTTTGTGAACAGCAACGCAGTATTCTATTGGTTGATCAATATGCAGGACAGAACGACATTGCATTGCTTTGTCTCGGAGTAATTATAATTATCTTACTTATAATCTTTATTATAAAATTAGTAATTAATATATGTATAATTTTCTCTTAAACTCATTGTAGAAATTATTTCTAAAGTTCAGAATTTATAAAGGAATCGTTTATTATTACCTTTTCTCGTGTCTTCAATTAAAAAATAAAGTTTTCAATGTTATAAAATATAATTAGTCCCGTTTTTGATTATGTCTCTAAAATCTTCATTAAATTTCTTTTTTGAAAATTTCCTTTCTCAAAATCGTTCAGAATAATTCCCGTCAAAGCCGTCAAAACATCAAAAAATTTTAAGATAAAAGAAATGCTCAAGATCTGTATAAAGATCTTTTAAGAAACGCAAAGATAATTTGTTATTGTTGGATTTTTCTTATCATTGTGATTTCTTTTAGATATCTTTTCTGATGATTTGATTATTAAAAGTGGGCGGTTGATATTTTAACTGAATATGCTAAGAGAAAAGAAAATTAATGAATTAATTAAAGAAGGGTTGCATATGAGGCTAGAAAATGATTTCACCAGATAATTCTCGATATTTATTTTCCTTCTAACAATGTGATAATTTGTAGGTTCTTTTAGATCTCGTTACTTCTTCTAATGGAGTACGAATTTGTTTATTCTTTTCACCATCACGATTGGGTACTGTCAATTTCTTTTCAATAACTGATATGATGGTGATCCTAATAACAGGTACATTCATTATTATCGCGGACAATTAAAATTTTTTTTTTTTCTAAATAAAAGAATATATGGATATCGCTTATCTAGATAAAGTTATTATCCAACTGATCTAGAATGTTTACATGGTTGTATAATTGCATTTTTACAAATTTACAATTATTGGTATATTTGTGCATCAAAAT